ATTATAAATTAGTAAATATATCTTTTAAATAAAAAATTGTAATTAAAGTTTGATTAGTTAGATAAAAAAAAAAAAAAGAACGAAAAAGAAGGATGCATGTAAAGCTAAAATTGAATTTAATGAAGGATGGTAAAAAATGATAGGCTGAATTTAATTAATAAAAAGAGAATAAAACTAAAGTAAAATATTAGATTTATCAATTAAAGAAAGGCTTAAGTATTGGAAAAGGACCCTAACTTTTTCTAAATTCTCAATTGAGGTCCTTAACATTTATTGCACTCAATTAAGGTCTTGAACTCACACAAACTCTCAAATTAGGACCCAATTGGATGAAATCTTAACATCCGTCAATTCTCACTTGACTGTCCGTTGCAGTTTATTACTCCCTCAATATGTGGCATGCCAATTGGACCCATAAAGTTGACTATAAAAAATATTTTCCAACATGGCATATTGGGTGGAGTAGTTTCCCTCCACATAATAGGTGGGTCCCACAAGACTTAATTCTTTTCCCACTCTCCTTTTTCATCTTTGAGTATTCAACACCTTTTTAATATAATATAAAAACCCTAAAACTTTTGTTTGCAAGTGTGTCATTAAAAAAGTACTTTTGCGAACTTCAATAGTCAATTTGAGGGATTTATTGTTTGGTGTATTCTTTTAAACAATTTTTTTTCATGTTTATACGTAGATTCAACAGTATATAGTTACGATCACGTGGTTTTATTTGTTATTGAATTATTTTAATATTTTTCATGATTTTTGAATTTATTTTTTAATTTAAACTTTTTTGTCTCGATTACACATAATTTCTTTATTTTTGTTTTGTTAATTTATGTAAATTATTATCTGTTTTTTTATTCTTTATCACTTATTCTCTATTGTATTTCATTGGATTTGTTGTTTATATATGCGTTTTCCATCTACTTTATTTTAGGCACTTTTGGATTATCTTTTATTTGGTTTGGAGTTTGTTTTGTATGGTTTGGAGTTTGTTCTGTATTGAAAAAGCAAACTTGGTTTATGCAGTTTCAGTATTTCTGGACTTTATTTTAGACACTTTTGGATTTTCTTTTGTCTGGTTTGGAGTTTGTCCTGTATAGACAAAGCAAACTTGGTTTTATGTAGTTTCAATATGGTTTAAGTGGAAATTAAAGTGTTATATGTGCATTTTAGTTGAGTTTTCTTATATAAAATATGATAAAGTTTGGGGTATGCTTGGCCTGGAGTTTTCCAGTATGTACTTTTTTTTTTCTGTATGAAGTTGCAGTTTCAGAATTTCAGTATATTAAAGGTTTCTTTCCCCTTGTTTTCCTTTGTCATTTTGGCAGAGTTTCCCTTGCCTTTGTATGTTTCCCCCTGTTCTCCAATAATATGTTCTGTATCAAAATGACAATGGACATAATTTTCATTGCTAGCATTGAATGGATTACAATCAAACGGCCATTTCCATAATGGCTAATATACAAACACATAATCACCATTTACCTAAAACAATCATGACCATTATCCTATAACATCGCAAAAGAAGCCATTCAACCATTATCCTAATACGATTTTCAAACATATCACTTATACCAAATCAAAAAAACAATGAGCACTAGACAACACTAGACTGTAGAAAAAAATTCTGCAACAATCTGAGGAAAAGAAGAACAATTTTTTGTTTCCTTTCTTTGCAGTAATCAAGCCTAAACTAGCATTACTATAAAGATTAAATTCAAAGTGATGGAGACGGGATTAGTTGTGGGTGCTTCTGTGGTCATCGAGTGGGCTTCTATTAGTGGCAGAGAGACACTAAGATGAAAACACAAGATTCAACCCCAGTTTCTTCACAACCAATTTCTCAAATATCAATTCAGAAATGGCTGTCAAGTTTTCCCTTTCAGACATGCCCAATCTGCATCAACATTGCTCTCCACCTCTGCCTCCTTTACCGGAACCATGATGCTCTTCCGCTCCATGACCAGCAACCTCATTCCTGAGCCACTCAGATCTCACCTTCACTCTTTATTTCACTCCCTCTTCACTCCTCTCTCTTCCAACCTCATTCTCGACATCAACGAATTGCTGGCAAGTCAAGGAACAATTCTACGAGGCCACCAAACTCCATCTCGCCACCAAGAACAGCCCCAAAACAGAGCGGCTCAGGCTTAGCAAAACCCAGAAACAAAAATGAAGAAGTCATCCATAATTTTGAGGGAATTCAGTTGAAATGAAAGTATGTCTGCATAGAGCCTTAAAAGATCTTGCAGGGAGAGGTAGGCTGTTGGGCAGAGAAGTTCCAAGGATTGGGTAGGCTACTATTGGGTGGAGAAGAAGATCTTGCAGGGAGAGAGGTGGATTGAAAATTCAGGGATTTCACCCCCAAATCGTGAAATAGGAAAGAAGAAGAGAGATGGGAGAAAAAGGAGCCATGGGATCACACATGCCACGTAGGAATATAATTTTTTTACAATCAGCCTTATGGGTATAGTTGGCATGCGAACGGACAATCAAGTGAGAATTGACGGATGTTAAGATTCCATCTAATTGGATCTTAATTTGAGAGTTTATATGAGTTTAAGACCTTAATTGAGTGCAATAAATGTTGAGGATCTCAATTGAGAATTTAATAACAATTAGGGTCCTTTTCCAATACTTAAGCCTTAAAGAAAGTATTGGCATATATCAACAAAAGAGCATATTAAGAAAGACGTGTAAGAGTGACGTGATATATTTTCCTTGAATTGTTTCTGCTTTAATATATATAGATTTAATAAAGGATGGTAAAAAATGGTGGGCTGAATTTAATTAATAAGGGGAGAATAAAACTAA